AAAACCAAAGAGTCGTGAGACCGAAATTAATTGTTTTATTCCTTTCAGTCCGAGGGAGGCTCACGAAACGAATGATTCTTTTGTGAGACGTTTTAAGATATGTATACGGCACCATCAGAGACTCATAAATATTGTGAATAATGTCAATGTTGTATTTGGATCCAGTATGTTTTATCAATTATTCGCAAGCTCTGCAATGATATGTTTCACTGGATTTCAAGCAGCTTTGGTGAGATACCTCAAAACCACTGCAAAGTATACTATTTCTACATTCTCCTGGACGTAATAGTAAATTATTTTTCAGGGCGCCAGGGAAAGCGCCAATTTGATTAAATTTGCATTGTACTGTGGAACGGCATTTTCTCAACTGCTCTCGTGGTGTTTAATAGGAAATATGTTACTGCATGAGGTAAAAAGACAATTATATTACGATTTTTCTGTCTCTGTTTCGATGATCTATTTTTTTCCCGCAGAGTCTCACTTTAACTAACAGCCAATGGCAATCTGGTTGGGAAGATGAACAATATTTCAACTTTGCGTATTTGATCATTTTTGCCATGGTGCGCGCTAATAGGTCTCTAGAACTTAAAGCTATCAATTTTTATTCGGTATCGATGGATACATTTATAGTAGTGAGTCTCAAAAATTTATAATTTTATAAATACACACTGTCTCTCGTTTGGATTTATGTATGTGATTTTAATAACGTTATACTTTATTACAATTTAGATCTCGCGAGCCTCATATTCATTCTTCACTCTTCTGGTGGCCGTTGTGTGACATTTAACGTAAATGCATGTATAGCGAGTCAATAAATAAATAAAAATCACTCCTCATCTGAGTTTTGAGGAAATGACGTAGGATTTTGGTTGGAGAAGTATCATTTTTGGTTACCATCGAATTTTCCCATTAATTGATGATTCTTCGGACATTTTCTGGAATTATGCACGGAGATAAAATCGTAATCGTGGGCTGGAGAATGATTACTGTCATTTTTTTTATCTAGAATCGTGGTAAAGAATAGGAGACGATCAGTAAATTTTACTATTTGCTCCGGGAAATTTACTACACTGTCGTGAATTTTTTTCCAAACTCGTAAGACTTACAGTTTTAATTGGAAAGTACGACAAAGAACGGAAAGATGAGGCAATTTCACGTAAATTTTAGGTACCTAGAACCGTACTATTTACAGTTCTAAAGTCATCAACAGGGTGCGTGTAAAAGTTATAAACATTTTTAATTACTGGGGTATTAAATTCAGACAGCACTTCATATAGTAGAGTATTTCATAATTTTATTGAAACAAAAAACTCATCATGGCACAAGAATAAAATCACTTTGATACACATGCAATCATTCACATTTTCGATTAAAAATTTCACATTGTGCTTACGTACTTATATTTTATCCTCAGCAGAATAAATAGAAGACTAATGGCGGAATGTGTGGTTTATACAAATATAAAGCGAAGAGCTTCATCATCTTCACTACGTAGGTACGAAAAACACAGTCTTCAACGTTCCGATTCTACCGTGGAATTAAAAAAAACAGTGGCTAGAATCTTGCTCGAAACCCTAAAAACCTTAACAAAATATACTTTGTTTAGTTCAGGAAGCATAAAAATTTGATTGCATAGCACAAGTTCACTATGTCCCCAATCCAAAGAAAGACCGATGTTCAATGTCTCATCGAAAGATTAAGACTACGTATGCATTAAGTACATAACGATATTTTACAAATAAAATCAGCGAATACTTTTTGCCGACAATGACTATCTGGACTGTTGCAAAATTACACTTGAAATTTTCAACAACCCCAAAATTCCGTGACATTTCTTCCCGAATTTCGCCCTCACAGGCAAAATCTCAAGGAAAAATTCCCTGAATTCTCAATTATAAATTTAATTATATTTGATATTGAATTTCTCGAAAATCGAAGCTTTAATTGAAAAATCAATAATGTGTTCAAAAATTTTCTTGAATTCTCAAGATAAATGAGAAATTTAGAGATAATTTTTAATTGAAATTCGATCCAAGCTTACATAATTGAAAGCTCGGATGACTATGTGACGGAAATATCATCAAATTCCCAGGAGGCTGACCAGTTTTGTTCGCACATGGCATGGCACTCTATCCCATTCTCGTATATACACACAACAACTAAAGTCTTTGGTATCGATGGCCCTCGATTATCACTCATTTCACTTGGTGAGTTCTCTCATCGACTCATCCTTGTCGTCATTTGAATCGCTTCCATTGAAAAGCAAAAGATCCTCTTGATCCGACTTTCTCCCCTGCATATCGATGTACGACTGGGGTCGTTCATTAGTCGGTGTTCTCAGGTCATTCTCACTGTTACTGACAAGACTAACTTTTCTGAGCCTAATAGGACTCTCGTAATGATTCGAATGATTGACATTCAAATTATCCGTTCTGTCATTGACATACGTTGATTTAACCGATCCATTGGAAAATGAGCAAACCGGATCTTGCCAGAGTGCCTGAAGTTTATCGATCTTATCGCACTTATTGATTGGCTCTGATAAGGTCTTGCTGAGGTAGTTAACCGCCTCTGTACGGAAGACATTGAAATTACCACTCACTACTCCATCATTGTTTGAATCTACAACGCAGTAAATTTTTCGTCAAATTAATATAAAAACATGATATGCACATGCTGTAGCCAATTCTATCCTTCGACTTTCCAATTGGTTGATTGATAGTATTTACTATGGATGTGTGTTTAAGCGATAGAATGATAATGGTACAGGAAGGAAAGCAATTTTATAAATTAAGATGTAAAGGGTTTTCTTTATTTATTGAAAAACTTACTTGGACTGTCCAAGGCGTGGAGTGATGCAAAATACGCCTGATTGTGAACAGTTCTTGGATTGAGGTCAAGATACTCAACACCATCTTCAAGCATGCGTTCCCACTGACAGGTGAGTTCTTTGAACGATGGTCGCATGCCCGCTTCGTCGTGCCAACACGACACCATCAATTTATATCTGTAAAATAGATTTTCGTTATTAATTTTTGAATCATATTGTCATCGCTTCAAGAATCCTTACAGCTGGGGTGAACAATTAGCTGGTCTCTCCATACGGTATCCCGCTTTGAGTAGATTATACAGATTATGAACGTCAACCCCAGGATAAGGCGACGCTCCAAGAGTTACTAATTCCCATAAAAGTACTCCAAAGCTCCACACGTCCGATTTGCTCGTGTAGACGTGATCCGCCAATGATTCGGGTGCCATCCACTTCACTGGGACTGAGTGGGAGAAAAATATGAGGAATTAGGGGTGCGCGAATAAACGGTAGACCACAATGGATCCTTTTATTTTGCTACTTAGGGGTTGAAGGGTGAAATGATTTCATTCTGGGGTTGATTCGCACAAAAGGAAACGCATTGTTTATACATATCCATAAATACATATATAATTGATTTCATAACATTTTCTTTCCATTGGGAGAATTAATATCAAATATTTCGGCTTCTGTTTCTAATAATTTCAGTGGTTGTAATTATTCTTTGTGCGCGACGAAATTTATCACGGTTATTTATTGATTCATTCCAATCTTACCTCGACCTTTACTTCGCTTCAAGTAAGCATCATCCTCGTAGACATCGCGTGTCAACCCGAAATCGGAGATTTTGCAGACTTTACCGGTAGCGAGAAGGACGTTTCGTGCGGCTAAGTCACGATGTACGAGCTGTTGAAATGATTGAAATTGTAACAGACGCTTGTTAGGGGTAGGATTAAGTGATTAGTTTACCTTAATGTCAGCGAGGTAAGCCATACCCTTGCTGATCTGCCAGGCGAATGACAGAATATCGTGGGGACTTATTGTGTAATTCGTGGATGCGTCATGTGCATCATCCCGAGTGTTACCCGGAGACGCGGAGAGTAACGATGTGGAGCAGGGCACTCGACCCTCAGACTCCAGATGTCGGCTTCTCCGCAAATAATTTCTGGAGGAAAGGTCAGAGTGGCTAGAGTACATTTTTGCAATAAAAACCCAGACTTTTGGGATATTACTCTGCTCACGAAACTTTTCTCTCACTCGAAATCGAGAGAATATATGTCCTTAAATCCATGAAAAAATATGTCCTTAAATCCATGAAAAAATATATATCCTATTTTATGAGCGAAAAAATATCTCGATATATTTGATATTGAGTTACAATATCATAAGTAATGGACTGCTTTTTCCGACTGCAAAGGGCAAACGAAAGAAAAACTTAATTACAAAAATTTTATGATGGTAGAATACGAGTAGACGATTATTGTCACCGTGGTATGCACTCCTCGCGGTCGTGGAATACGCCGACAATTTCCGGGTGTGGGGATAGGAGAATGTTTATGTTCATATTGGACACCAGTGAGACTCGTCGAGCCAACCAACTCGAATAACCCAACATTTACATTCATAGTACCGACGTTTCGCCGTACTTCATATTCCCTCTCCATTCATGCAAGAATTCAATTCACTTCCAATTCGTTACCTCAAGGAGCCGAATTCCGCAAATTCGATGATGAGATAAACCGGACCACCGGATGATGTACAAGCACCCAGTAGGCGAATGACATTTGGATGTTGAGCTTCTTTGAGAAGTTGGTATTCAGAGAGAAGGTCAGCAAGTTCAGAACCACTGGCATCTTCCTTGAGGGTTTTCACAGCGACTGTTGTGTGACCAGGCCAATCGCCAATATCCACTGCTTTTGCTCGAAGAACCCTTCCAAACTCACCTTCACCGAGAACTTGTTCTATCGTCAACTGAGATCTGGGGAATTCCCATTTCGGGTCCGGCTGCAAATTAATTACGGGTCAAGAATTACAACTCATAACTCCACTTATTTAAAAATTTCAGTGACGCCCACATCGTGCGTATAAATTTAACAAGATGAACACAGTGATTATTAAATAGAAATTCTAAGAAGCCCCCAACTCCGAATTCAGATTATCACACGTAATTTGGATGTTATAATGACTCCTTTATAATCTTGGCACAAACTCTAGTTAACCCCGGGGATATGCAAATCCTGGTGAATACACAGTTCCCACACGTAGTTCACTAATCGAGAGAAAATAACTTAGTGGGTGCCATATTTTCACAGCAGATTAACCGTCAATTTGTTAGAAAGTGCCTACCGATGTTTTTGGGAGTAGAAGACTGCGGTTGATGCTGGCGAATGTCTCTATATTAATCAGTTGTCCATCGCCTCGATCCAAGTAATCAAGAGGTAAGATGCCGAGGCCATTATTGATGTCATCTGATCGGTGTTTGCAGTCGCGTCTGCCACCCTTGCGCAAATTCCTAGAACGATTAGAGTGTCACTGTTATTTTTTTGCGAAGGTCAAAGGTCAAACTGCGTCCTTAGGAGCTGTAAGACGAGGTTGCATGCTTCTGATAGCAATCGCAACTGACCCCTACACCAGCTTTGACCATTAAAGTTTCATTGGCTTAGTGTTCTTTCTGCTTTAGCATCTTTTTTTTTTCTTGTATCGTCAATGAATACAGTGCACGTAACTTTTACGATTTCCAGACTCCTTTCAAGGATCAACGATTCGGTATTGAAATAGCAGAAGATAAATATCTTTACATTCAAGGGAGATGAGGAAATCTCCCTAAGGACTTTTCGCCTCTAAAACGACATCAAAGTTCCGAGGAAACTAAACCGAGAGAGAAATTCAATCATGTCGTTTCACCCCTTCAATATCGATCTTGCTAAGTGCTACGTTTGCCATTTTTGTGGATAATTCATAGTAGAGGATAATAATTATCAATAAATTAATTATTCCAGTAAAAATGCATTATTTCTTCGGCGTGGAAATAAAATTAATATTCAAATCGATCTTTCCTCTAGTGAGATACAAGTTTGAAAGCGAGTTTAAAAAAAAATGTTTGACATACCTATTTTTCCACCAACAAGCGATTATACCACTCACGAAAAAAACAGCGATGGAGATTGCTAGAAAAACTCCGATCACACACTCTGTCCCACACTTGGAACCAGCGGCAACTATAAATGAAATACGAGAGATGAATCGAGTGGCTGGAAAAGTCTCATCGAGGTAAAAATGAAAGCCGTGTATTTTTCGCACTCAATTGCTTTGAGTTTTTTAAAGGATTGAATGTAAAAAATGCAGGATACCACTCATTCACTTTGTTTTCCTTATATTCAGGTCTCACCTTTATGAGCATCTGAAACCCCCATTTCCACCTCATTTTCGTACTCTTTCTTCGCTTTCTCTCCATCTCGAACATCTTTGCCGCCTGCACTCTTAGTCCCGTTTATGGTGCTGTTGCTTTTTTTTCCTCCTCCATTGCGATACGTCCGACCGCAGGTACATTTCATCTCGTCAGTGCAAATACAAACTCCCTCCGCTTCTTTTATACCTCTCCCGTTTTTATTCATTACACCGAAGGTTATCTCCTCTGCAATAAGAAATTCATTGGATTGGAGTTAATCATTTTTACGAATAATCGAAAAGATCAACTCACAGTATTTTTTTAATTATTAATTATTGGAGATATTTTCAATTATCCCATTAATTATCAAGTGATAATTTCGTATGAAATACAATTGGGTTTTCAATCCATTGACAATTCAGGGAATCAAAAAAAAATGAATCATATTTTAATTGATTTGGTTGTCTCGTTTATTACGAGATGAGTATTTTCGATTTGATTCGGTATAAATTTAGAAATGAGTATTCCCCGGAACGTACACCACTCAGGAGACAAAATTCCGTGTGTTTAGATTTATTTAAACATGAACCCACATTTTCATGAAGAATTGTCAAAAAGTTCGATTTAAAAAAATTAATCAATGCACCTTAAATTTGAATGGTGAAACGAAATTACTCACCTTCAATTGCACAATCTTGCGGACATATCCGGTGGTCCAAATATTCGAGCTCATCGCAAAAATGATCTGGACAATGAATTCGATCAGGAGAACAGGTTTCATACCTTTCGGTGATCGAATGTGAACGATTATTGGCTCGCCAAAGACAACCCTGGGTGGAAGCATTACTCCTACGATTGAAATAAGTTTAATGGTACGGGGTAATGGAACAATTTAGATCCGGAGATCTCTCCCTTCCCTTTTTTCTGGAAGTTAATGGAAAGGAATCCTTCGAGTTATACTCACATAAATATCCCCACACCTACGCCACACAGCTTTTCGCATTCCTTTTGAGTCGCTGCGTTTGCACAAGAGTGGATTTCTTCCGTTTGATCAAAACAACTGCCTACTACTGCTTTCGCTGTATCTACCACCAGTACCCAAACAGTTTGAGTCAACGTCTTACGATTGTGCGATATCCACTGCACTTTCAGTCTGAATATCAAGATTATTTATTTGTTATTTTATTTTATTGACAAATAATTCTAATGCCCCTGTGAGATTAAAAAAAAATCGAACGCAAAGTCACGGAACAACTGATTGATCAATTTCTCAATAAAATTTTCAAATAAATGGGGAAATAATTCCAAATTAAATCGAAAAATTCATTAACTAGAATGAAAAAATATAAATTGAGAAAATTAAGACACTAATATATTTATAAAAATATGAATATTCTCCTTAAATGATGTCCAAGATGTTCTCTAAAAATTGTATTGGAAGATAATGGATTTATCGCAATTTACCACTTGGTAAGCAATAATTTATTGAAAAAGCATAACTTACGGAATTCGGACGGGGGCAGATCTCAGCATTGCCTCGTCAGATACATAAATAATTCCACCCTTAGTGGTGATATTAAAGATTTTGGAATTGACGATGGTAAATATTTGAGTGGCAAGAGGTTCCACGAATGGCTGGGCAACCCTTGCGAACGTGGAGGCCCTCCGAGAGACGGTGGTATTTCCAGGAAAAGAAATTGGTTTATCCAGTAGTATAGGAGTGGTAGTGGATGTTGTGTGGTGCTGAGGCCCCACGAATGATAGTGTGAAATTCACCTAACAGTGTAAGGCAATCGTAAATAAGGGATTACACATCGGGGCGGTTAAATTATGGTACATAATGCGTCGAGGACGGATTAAAATGCTGGCACGTTGTACTTGCCCCAACCCCTCCTCAACTTCTGGATCTTGATGTATTACGGTCACGTTTTTGCGTAAGAGAATAATTACACGCGACCGCCATTTAGTTCATAGTCGCAGCACGAAATAAATGCGACTTCGACACGAGACTCGAGAATTTGAAAACTTGTGGAATAAATAGGCAGAGGGATTGCACATTTTTTCAAATTAATTTTAGCTTAATCCGGAGGTCTTCATTCAAGGGCCATTATACTCCACTTCCCGTAAAACGTTTCCGCATTTTCACACGTACAAACACTTAATCCGTTATTCATACTTAGCGAGAAGTTATTAAGGAGTCGGGGTGGGGCGGGGCAAGCATTGATTTCAAACGTCCGGCCAGACTAATTGCTATTTGGTAATCGTGGGCTCGGTGCTTGTTCTTTTTTTTTTATCCTCTCATTTTTATCGGAACCTCCTAACTAGGTGTAGGCGATATTCACATTAGCGTAGAGCAAGTACCGGTGTACTGTGTCTCTGCCGGAAATTGCGTTTTAAATCATTCCATTATCCCGACAAATTTCCATTGTTTGCGGAGGTTTTGGCTGATAACCGATCGGATGCCTTATTAAATTTTGTGGTTATCGAGACATTATTTTCCACCTCGCAGGGACGATTATTGCTAATCGAATTCGTTGAATAATATTCAATAGTACAGTTGCACATGCACATGTTCCAATAAATTTCATCGGAAAAAATATTAAAGTAATTATGAATTTCAAATGATTTGAAAACTCAGCTCATTTTAATACCGAGTATTAACGTAAATAAATTCATGAATTTTTTTATGGAAAATTCAGGTAACAATTTTCGTGAATTTTCAATCTGCTGAAAATTCGAGGCTCGATTGAAAAATCAATTCTCATTTAACATGAGCAGCTCGATCTTCATGAATTGTGCATATAAAAAATAAATTAATTAATTGCAATTGAGCAAATTCAAACTCGCATAAATCCGGTAATCTTACCGACTTGTCACCTTTCCCAGGAAGCAGCGACTCGTCCGTCACTTGGAGGATGACTCTGTACGGAGATTTAGGCAGCAGAGTTGTCCTGGCGAATATCTCTAACAAGACATGAGGATAATAAAAAATATTATAGTGAACCCTATAAAATACCGTTGAATCTCTCCACTCACTCGTAAAAATTGCAGTGTAGGGTGGTGTTGTCGGCCGGGCCGGATGTTCAATGGACATCGTGTTGAATGTAATATTCAGTGCATTATAAATATCTCCCAAAATTCTCACACTGTAAATATTACTTGAAGCTGCATCAGCGTCATTCACCATCAACTCGTTATTATCCAGTCGCGTGCCCTGCAAGAGGAAAATTCAAAGAAAAATTCTCTAAATATTATTATTATTTCCCTACTAGCTGAAAATTATGAATGAAGATTGAAGGAAAAATCCTCTCCGTTATCATTCTCACCGCTTTGAAATCCGAAAGTTCAATTTCAACGTTGGTGTCAATTTGGGCGATCGGAGGATTGTCATCCAAATCGAGTATATCGATATCAAGATTCATCTCATGAATATATTGACGACCGGTTCTCTCTTCCCAGAGGAAACATCTGACCCCGAGGTCTACGTGAGGCCCGGGACCCCCGGGGTAATTCACGGTGTCTCGGTCTAGGGAGGCATTAGCGTGCACCTCATCATCCAGGATATAAAAATAATCACTTCCTAGAATCAATCACAAATTAAATCCATAATTAGTAAACGAGATGATTATTGTCAAAAGGATTCGTGCAATTAAATTCATGAAACTCCAAAAAAGTTGCAGTTGACTATTTCCAAATATTAAATGAATTTTACGCAAATTCAGAAAATTAATTCACTGGGCAATTAACGAATTATAATAATGAGATTTCTTTGAATTTTACCGTTCAGCAATTCATAGCGGGTGACTCGGAGATGCGGGCATAATGTCCTGTAAGCAGCTGGCCCAATTTTACCGAGCATAGTTGAGGGTTGATTTTCGTAAATCTTGTATTTCGCAACGTGCCAAAAACACACATCCTGAAAATTCAAATAATTGGTCAAAGCCAGGTTTCCAATTGTTAATGGTATTACTGATGAGACTGATATACTTGGGTGAACTCTGAGCAATTAATCCTATCTCCTTTAATTTCAGTAGGTTGCAGTTTAATCTCCATTGTTGCATCACCACCACCACGTTCCTTCGCCTGAATAACGATGGTTTTAGCACCACCTATTCAGTGATAAAATTTATTAATCACCTACAGTTGATGGTTTCAAGGGGACAGAATTCAACAGATTCTAGCGCTGCGACTTTAAAATTAAAGTTCACGTTATAATAATATTTTGTTACCTAAAAAAATATGTTTCATTGTCTATTTGTGATAAAATATTTATATATATAGATCCTGATTATTAGAAAGAGTCATTAAAGACTCTTTTCGTTATACCTGAATTTTTTTTAAGGAATATCACTTTTCGCCTGATAATTATGTACCACTCGCGTAATTTTCCGTGAATTTTCCTTCAAACGTACCATTTTTGGGGAGAGATTGCAGGGTAATTTCTCTCCTCCGTGCATCAAGCTGCACCACCCTATCATTCTCCGAAACAATCTGGTACTTGGGCTCCTTGAAAACCACGGAATCATTCCTTAATGTTCTCAAGACGAGAATACTAATGCCCGCAGTCAATCTCTCATCGTTCCTCCCAGAATAAGGGAGTCTCAGCGTCAAGTCCGACTGTGGGAAGTAGAGTGCTGCAACATGAGAAAATAAATACTCAAATCGAGTTAAATCCTGATAATTTTCTTTAATTTCTTAGTTCTACAAAGTTAGAGCAGCTGGAAGAACCAACAATGGTGCAACCGCGATGGAGATTGCGAATAAATCAGCTGTGCCCGACGTCTCACTCCTAACAAGGTCACGTCTGATAGTTTAAAGTTCTCCATGGTGATGAACTGCGATAACTAAATTAGTTTCGCACTATCCAATAGACTTCTTGATTATACTGAATTTACTCAGAAGTATTAGCCTGCAATTAAGAGCATTATTTTCACCCAGTCCTGATCCTCTCGAAGGTATTCCCAGAATAATTTCCCGGAAATGAAGACGATCAAGTTCTTTATGATCCATCATGCGAATATTGAAAGACTCTTAGAAATATGGAAATCAGATGGATTCAGGGGGCTTACTGGCGCGGAAAATATAGCTGATGTTTGTATAAAATATTTCCCCTCGGTATCAGAGAGAAAAACGACCGTAGATTTCAAAGTACTTCTCGATGCGATAACAGATTCCAACTTTCATATCCAATTCCCTAATCAAATAGTATAACTAAAAAAATTAAATAATTATTAGAATAGAAGAATTTTATTATGTCATTCGAAAAAAATCGGAAATAATAATTGAGAAGGAAGCTGTTGCTGAAATATAATCAATAATGGAGAATCACTTCTTGAATGTTCTTAAAGACGGTTATAATTAAAATTTTGCGTCTAGTGCATGGCGAAATTGTATTGACCTTACTGATCATGAGGAAGTGGTCTCACTAATTTATCGCTTCGATACTCAAAGGTTTAATGGCCTTTATACGGATGCGATCACGGATTCCATCGATCCACCAATAGCCGATTCAACTTTTCCATCGCGTGTGTATTGTTTTCCGGACTTTGACACCATTCGATAATTAACGTTTTTTACCTCCCCGTGTTACTCTCGGTATGCCAACATTTTCCGTTGATTTAATAGGCGCTGGAAGGAACAACAGTCATAAAAGGGTTTAATGTTTCAAGATCGTAAAAGTCAGTGCCTTAACGTTCAACAGATCGGATAAAGAGTATTAAAAAGTTCGAATCGGTGGATATGTCCAGCTGTGGAACACTGCCTAAAACGGAACAGTCCATTCATCTTTTACTCATTTTATAGAGCAAATAGCCTTCAAAGAATTAGAGGACGAGCTGGCAATTCTCTCGCAAAAATACCAGTTTGGTGTCTAATTTTTTTTTTAAATCGATTAACTCCTCAATTTTCCTGTTATCCAGTTATAAAGCCCCCATTTGATTCAAATTTCAACGGAATGCGCTTTAAATTTTCCAATTTTCTCCATATATAATATATAATAAATATGTATAATAAAATAATAATCTATAATAAATAATAAAATAATAAAAATAATAATATATTACATAAATTTGGTATTACGACAATTGTCAAGGAAATAAAAAATCGCAGGATAACCGAAGTCTCACATATTTTTAATTTTCATATGGACCATTTTAATAGAGTGTTCCATAAAGGGTGAGTTGTGGGGTCGTAGGGTCGTGGGGTTGGTTGGGGCGTTGAGGAAGATGGGTCACGCGAAAGTCAGGTTAACCGTGAGGGTGGTGAACTGCGTGTCGGAGATTCGATGAGAAGGGTATGTACGTGTGAGGCCCTTCCGAATGAGCAGATGTGTTCGCATGTATTATAAAGGAATGGGTTTACGTTTGCGAAAATTCTCGGTGCTGTCGTTCGATATAACGCATGGTAAGCGTATCGAAGATCCTTCGCGTGTTTAACCGAGACATTAGCATATTCAAGAGAGACTTTCCTACGAAAAAAGGTAAGTGAATGCTGATATCACAAGACGTTGGGTCTTGAGGTGCAGGGGTGCATAGGGTGGAAGGGTGGCTGACACCGAGGAATTATCGGCTGTTTGATGTCGCTCAAGGGGATGAAACGCAGTGGAAAAATCCGGGAAAGGATAAGACCGATCTTATAGAGGCAGGAAAATAATAATAATAGTAATGATGAATCGAGGGGGTTTAAGAAATTCGTAGGAATAATAAATTATTTCTGCTAAATTAATTTTGTTTAGGCAGGAAAGCGAATTCTTGGATAATGACAGAGGGGGAAGATATCCTTTCAGGAAGGATCTCCCATTCTGGGAACTTGCGAACCTAGTTACAATCTTAAAAATCTCTGGGAAATTCAGTGACGAAGTTTGAATGAGTTTGAATTGAATTTCAATTAAAAACAGTCACTCAATTTCTCATTGATCTTGGAAATACAAGGAAATTCGGTTGTTGGGTTAAATTACGATTGATTTTTCAACGAAAGCTTGAATTTTCCACAATTTTACAATTTTTCAATGAGCCTCGGAATTGAGGATAATTGGAATGTATTTATTTATTTATTTATGAAATCAACTGATTTGTCAATGAAGAATTGTACAGGAATTCCAGGTTATTTCGTCGTTGTTGAAAATTTCGAGTCTTTCTAGATGAAATTTCTAGTGTAATTTTCCAAGAGTGTATTTTGCCCTTAGGGGGAGCTCCCGGTGAAACTTTAAAGTCTTTATGAGATTTAAGAGTGGGTGGAGACTTGTGATATATGATGGGGTATATAAAAAGGGGTTGCGGTAAAATGTTCTAACGAAGATTTTGGAAGGAGGTAAATGTCAATCCAATGAAAACTGAGAGCTCTTCACTTGAATCGAGTGAGAATCACTTATTCTAAGAGGAAAGAGAAGTAGAATCAAGTGTTCCCACAGAATAACCGATTTTATTCACTGGGAGTCTCATTCTTTTCCCCAATTTACAATTAACGAATTTTTCCTGAAAATACTGAATCATTTTTCTGTGATACAAATAAAAAATTGAAGAAAAAAATCGTGAGGACTGTTTTCCATTCTAAATTTGAGAATCTCAATCACATTGAAATGGTGAATTAATTCCAGAGGACTAAGTATTTAATTTAATGGGTTTGATTAAATTGTTGATGGAGATCCAGATAGAGGATGAGAGTAATAAAGACATTTTAGAACTAGAAAATTCATTAGGCTAATTATTTCTGAATGTACACCTCAAGATATCTCAGTGACACTAAAAATAATACAGCAGAATGGCTCCCGCGCGTCATTATTCGGTCTAGTTTTCAGAAAAGAGATAATATGCCTCCTAAACCCACTTTATTGTGGGATATAAAATCCACTAATCTCACAAGGGTCTTCCATCCTGGCCTATTCCAGTCAGTGTAACTCCACAAGATTTAACATTCATTTCATTGCTTTTTGTTACTCTCCTTTGAAATTTTGGAGGGAGATGGAATCGTTGACATTTCCATAAATTCCAATGAGAGCTTTCGGCGCTCGATTGATTTGTCTCTCCATTAGCACCACGAGACCTGTGTCTTCCAAAAATATTTTTCTTTTCGTTTCAGATCGATGTAGATATTCCCCTCGGGAACTTTCCATCTGGTACTTTCCACGTGTGCTTGTCACGGGATTAGCGGGGACTTGTGTTGGTGGGACCTTTATAGTCATCACTTTGAGGATCTGCGTAATAAAAAAAATTCCCTTTTTCTAGGAGAGAAGCATTTATTTGTAAATGTCATAAATATTCCCAAAATTCGAAGGTTTTGACAAAATTTGCAAAACTTTTCGAAGAAGAAAAACAAAAAAGAAAAAGGTGAGGAACAAGAGTGTAGAAATAATAATAAATAGAATAATAAATAGATAATAATAAATAGTCGAAGATCGTCTCGTAGGGCGTTTTGATTGTGAGGGCTACTTGGGAATATCTATGGGAGTATCGATTTTGTTTACCTTCCTTTTTACCTTTCGTTTTAGTTTGGAATACTGGGAAGAGTGAGAATGTTGAAACGAACAATTGAGAAGACGTACGTGGAAACCTTTTGGACATTGAGTTACGATTCCTGAAACTGAGCTCAATGCGGACAAACGATATCCTGGAGGGCAACCATACAACATCATGGCTGACACAGGAATAGGGCACAATCATGGGGGGGAATTCGAGCCCCTCAGTGTCCTTATCTTGGCTGTCCTACACCGGGACGAAAAGACACGATAATCTCGTCCGAATCCCTCCATAAATAAGTGCACTGCGCAAACAAAAATTCAACAAAAATTACGGAAAATTCATTGACAGATCACGCAAGTGACAAGTGAAGTCAATTTACACTCCGGCATCGTAATTTTTCCGACAGAAATCAATAATAGTTCTGTAATATTTTCCATAACCACCTGTTGCTTCGGCATTATCGAGACGATACGTAATTTTTAATGGTTATTTTTCTCACTCGAACTTCAGTCAATCAGAACGGAATATTTCAAGCTGTCAAACAGAATTTTATTGGATAATTCTTGAAAATTTCTGACGGATATTCTCTAGTCACTTTTCAAATGGTTTTAATTAAAACTCGGAGATTTCCATTTAAAAAATAAGATTGCAATATATATAATATATATTATATATTTAAATTTTCATTCGAACAAATTGGTTTGAAATGGATGAATTG